CGCGCCCTCTTCTTACAGGACGATACTGGACACGAAGTACGGCCTGAAGAGGTGGCAGATCGGTGAGATCGCGAGCAAGATCGGCCAGCTCTACTACCATTACTACCTTCGCACCAGTGAGACTTCGTACCTTCACGAGGCCTACTCGTTCTACGCAGCGATTCGCGGCCGCGCTTACTACAGCCGTGCCGCCAAGGAGGATAGGAGCGACCTGATGGTGAAGAAGCTCAGGTACTACGCCCGTTTCATCGTCGTCTGCCTGCTGTTGAATCGTATGAAGCTCGTCCGTGAATTGGTCCAAGAGTTGGATGCCCAAATCGTTGATTACACCAGCACCTACGAACCGGACGATCAACTCGAGTGGAATTTAGTCCTCGACGAGATCAAGGCGTTCGTGAAGGCCGAATCGGCCGTCGGAGTGGTGCACTCGGACTCGAACCCGGTTATACTAACCCACAGGTTGGGGCCCCAGACCTCGCCGCCAGTCGAACGTACGCCACCCATGTGCCTATCCCTGCAGGAGATCCTGATCGTTGGCAATTGCGCCGACCAGGTGAAGTTTAGTGAATTGTCGATGGACATGTTCAGGATGCTGCAAACGCTGGAGAGGGAGCCAAGGGACGACCCTAATCACCTGCACGATGCGTCGCCGGCAGGAAGGATGCCATTTAGGCCTGGCGCGTATCCTGGTGCCGAGAACGGTGCCCCGAGGCGGGACAATCCACACAAGTACCTGTTGTACAAGCCCACCTACAGCCAGGTACAGGTATTCCTCGCGAGCGGCTTCAAGGAGCTGCCCGCGAACGGAGCGCTGTTGCTCTACTTGTCCGCCGACGGCTGCTTCTCCACCGTCAAGCATCCGGAAGAAAGTGAGTGTTGCCTTTGATCGCGACCGATCACGCTTCCGCGAGTATCTTAGAGCCTTGGCTGAGCCGTTTTTACGTTTTGCTGTCAGGGAAGAGATATGGAATAGATGTAGGCAGCCGATGTAGGAGTAGAGCAGATTAGAGAGTTGGAGGAAGTTTGATAGATGGTTGATGTTAATGGGTTTTTCTTGGGAAGGAAAATAAGGAAGAGCGTTTTCCGTGGTTGCAATATTTCTGTTGTATAGTTAATCTTAATAGCTACGAAGTTTTATTAGCTTTGTCGATTAGAGTTGTTTCATAAAATGTACAAAAGCAAATCATCATTGGCCTAAATATTTTTGACGATTTCTTGAAATATATTGTCACCGACAGACACGTGTCTAACCTAATTTCAGAGTACTATAACCACATCCGTATATTGATAAGTATCATATGCAACACAAATCCAATATTTTATACGTTTGTACTTTCTCGCACTAATCCTAAAGCCAACATTTCCAAATCAAGTTTTACATAGCTTTCTTTTCTAAATCTAATACCGTATCTTAGTAAATTTGTAAAACTTCTCATTCGACAATTCAACTACCCCCACGACCTGAAAATCTCCAAATCGAAACACTTTACGCGAACTAATAACCAGTTGATCGATCAAAGCATGTTCGCCTCTTGTCAACGAAAATAGTTTCCGTTTTAAAAAGGCGGTTGGCCTCCGATCGATTCCGTTGATCGGCCGAAAATTACTTATCACGGTAGAGGGCAGTCGTTGATGCAAGGCTAAAACGAATCACGCGCTTGACGAAGCCGAATGCGAACGCGTGTCGGCATTTTCGGTCAGTTTCCTCGGCCGGTAATTCGACCGGTCGGGTAGAGCGAGTCTTCCGTGTCCTATCGATACGTCTAACTCTCCTGACGATCCTTGAACGACGAAGAAAGGATTTTTCCATGTCTATCATACAAAATATTCGTATTCTGTTCGACAAATTGAGTCTAGAGAGGTAAAACCACGTAACTAAAATCTAGAGAAGATAGGGTTGAATTCACAATTCTGAGATATTGTAAAATATATAGAAGCTATTTTTCGGTATATTAATCTTTTAACTGGAAAGAGTTAATTTAGCAAAGATAAAATCGAATCTAACGAGATATTTGTTGCTTTAATTAAATTACTGAAAAATGAAGCTGCTTCCTTTGTTACAGCAGTTAAATACATTTAATCAAACACGCTCAATTAAATATATATGTACACTAGTAAACCGCGGGTATTTATACAGATTCAAATTTTTGTGATTATAACTAAAAAGTTGTAAACTCTGCAGAGACTTTTTTTCATAAATATTTTTGAGAATATAATTAAAAAAGGAGATATTCGATCAGAAAATTGTTTTATCTATCAAGCATTATACACTATACGTTGAATATTTTATATATTTTTTGTATCATGTGTATTTTGTGCAATTTTGCACTTCCAAATTTCCTATAAATGTCTAAAAATCCGCAGTTTACAGATAAGCCGTGTCGCAACAATGTTACACGATGCCTACGCCACCGCGCGTAGATCTACCTTTAAACGCATGCCACTAATTGGATCATCGAATCGGACTATCACCTTTCTCCGATTCGTTCAAGGGCTTCCAGTGAGCATACGACACACGAGCCGCACTCATCGTTGATTTAGTTACTGAAAGGAACGCTCTTTTCGTTAGTAGTATTCGGATTATGTATAGTCGAGTGGGAAAGACCGGAAAGTGTTTCTGCATTTCATCGGAACTGATGATGACTATCAGTTGCGGTAGTTAAATTTATTCTGGCCTTTGCTTTTTTCCGAATTTGGAAGATGGAAGTTTGCAGCTATTGTACTTGGAAGGGAATGGTATGCTTATATAATGTTTTTTTTTAAATTAAATAAGTTGTTGGAAATTGAGTTGAGGTTAAGGTAAAGCAATGTTAACCCTGTATGACACTATGGAAGTTACATGTATCTATTTGTTAAACTCTACTTTATTTTATTTCTACTTCATGATTTTTTTATAATAATAATTAATTCTTATATTTTAGATTAATACGAATAACTATAATAATCTGTCATATTTTTGTTTCATAAGCAAATTAAGTTTTGGTTACAAAGGGTTAAAGAATAACTTACATATATAGTGGATAGTTTTTGAATGGATTCAGTTTTTTATAGGAAGTACAAAGAGCAGGAAATCTAATTATTAAGACATTTGTGCTGGGATATATTTTGTTTAGGCTATATTATTTACAGCTTTAAAGATTGGTTAGAATAGGAGGCTTATAGAGTCAGAAGCTTATATGTATATAATCATAGATACATATAGAAGATACCAAGAACTGCAGAAAAAATTATTTAACTGTAGGCAATGCTACACTAGCTTAGATGAAGTATTAACTACTATATAATAACAGTTGAAAATTTCACAGCATAAAAAATCAATATTTAAGTATCACACTTCCATACACAGATTCAAATGATATCTATGAAATTCATAAATCAAACATACATTTTAGAAAGGTATAAATATTTATACTTTCACGTATATAATTAAATACATTACACATTACAGAAGGTAAAAAGTTCTATTTAAATTTGCAGATGAAATTCACATACCCCTAATACAAAAACTAGAACTACTAGTAATTTTACGAATTTCTGTTATCTAATAGCAACAAAAATTATTCATATCCAACCAATTTGTTGAGAACAATTCAGTTACACGCCTAAAAATAGCCTCTTCTCATTAACACGTTAGAACCACATTGTACCACAAAGAAAATTCCCCAGTTTCACAATACAGCGTTCCTTTCTCCTTCAGAAATCAACGCCTTTAATTGGATTCGCGAAAAGATCAGTACAAGGTGTCCGCGACTCGAAGGAACTTGAAAGAACACACGCTAGCGTCCTCTTCTTTTTCGTCTTTAATTAGTGGGCATCCTCATGAAACTTTTATGCGGATCGAAAGAAGACATCTTGAGAGTCGGCATACGAGATACACACGACCATGACCTCTCGCGGTGCATGTTGAATTAACTACATAGAAAATCCAGGTCGTTTAAATGGTTTCCTAATATTCCACGTGCCACGACGTTCAACCGCGACGATCTATTATCTTCCGGCCGATCTGGAATAGTTGCCCGTCATTCATCGCATTTCTGTTCTGGTTTAATTAGTAATTCGTATATTTAATACCAGAATTCGTTATGCAATGCTTTCGATGTCTTTTGTGATACATGTATAGTGGCTCGCAGAAATGTCTGAATATGTACTTGCTATGGAACCTTTTATGTATACATATATTGTTTGTGCTATATAAAACATTTTCGAATTTTATCAATAGTATAATTAGTAGATTGCTGATTTTTATATAAATTCATATTTTCATGGATACAAAAGAGTAGGATCTGAGTAGAGATCTGGTTTACCTGTTAAATATCATAAACAGTACTATACACAAAAACAATACTATATCTTTATACGTTTATATGTTTTGTATGCTTTTGTATGTTGTTGCGTATCATAACGTTGCATATCATTACGTATTTTTGTATCTCAAAATTACTGATAATTGCATAAAAATCAGCAATAAGAAACTACTGTTACTGTTTTTCTACTACATTTTCAAACTGTTTCGTATAACACACATAATACATTCATGAAAAGTTTCTATAAGTATTTACTTTCGCGAGCTACTATATTTCTATGTGTTCTCAGTATTTGTCAGTGTCCGCATGTAAATGTAAACAAGTATTTATTGTCCTATGGGTATTTATTATCGCGTGTATCAAGTGGTAAATTGGTGGCAAAATTTTGGGATCGTGTTTAATTTTATATGCAGGTTAAATTACGCTATAAATATGATAATGTATAATAGACGTTTGTGTTATATTACAGATATTTTGGTTCAAACTTTGGATTATTAAACCTCTACTTTTCTTCCGTCTCGACGAATAAAAAAATTTTGAATATCTCATTATCTATCAACTTTCATAAATTTGGGAAGTTTTTAATGATAAGAAATACGATTGTGCCACAGGACATAGTGAGGTTAGGAAGGTAAATAAAAATACTTTCCTTCAGAAATTACTATTAGTCATATTTCTAACTTTTATTATACTCAAAAAATTTCGTTTCCAAAGAGGTATATACATATAAAATAAAGTAACGTTGATATATTTTCCAGTATAACATGCGTACCTCTACAACTTGAGATGAAAACGTCCGCAAATCCATAACCTTCACGTGACCCGTTTTCATCAGTAGAACCGAAACACGCTGTAAAATTTGGCCACCTATTTCCAAACGGATCTTTTGTACAGACTACTTTATTCTGTATCACAATTCCTCTCCAGTCATCGAGCAATCTCTCTTTCTCCCTTCCTGCTGTTCTCTTCAAAGTACGTAACACTTTCCACTTATCGTCCATTTGTATGTTGCCTAAATGTTACACATAAAATACCTTTAAAAGGACGAAGGAGAAGTGAAAGAAAAAAGAAAGAAAAGAGGAGGGATAGAATAGAAGAAAAAAATTCGAGTCAAGACCGAAGGTCGAAAATGTTGAAAAATTTAGCAAGCTGACCACCAAAGGAGCGCTCGGAAGCCGGTATTCAGAGCGCAGTGAGGTTACAAGCCGCTCGAGAAGGCGAAAACGGTCTTTCAACGAAAGTAGAGTAGCGCATCCGTGTCAAGGTTATTCCGCGATAGAGATTCCAAGCTGTCGGCCCAGTAGATTCTAAGTTTGCAATCAATATCGAAATACGCGGTGACGCGTCGATATCGAAGAAACCCCGCCGGTTACATTCGACCGACAATTCTTTTGCCTCTTTTAAATAAATCTCGGCTTTCGGTGTCGTTAAAAATCTCACTTTTACGGTTGCGATAGATTTTACAAATAAACGTTGGCATTAGACTATGGTTACAGTGGATGTGTGTTTTGATCTCAATATATCAAGTATGAAGACCATAAGGGATCAATATAATAAATCTAGCTTCTTTGTTTTTTTTTATTTTTATGTTACATAATGTTAAGCAGAAAATATTTTAATATGGAAAGAAAACAACTTGTTACACTTAAAGATATAACTATCTCAAAAAAAGGTTAATATATCTTTAAAGCTCCGTAAAAAATCAACAATATGATTAGAATGTTAAGACAGTCAATAATTTTGGAATATTTAGCATAGTAACATACGTATAAACATAGATCCTTGTTATTTTTATTTCGGCTTTCAAAATACGCATTCACCATACCGTTATAGCATTAGACAAGAAATTAAATTTGACTTTTTAAATTTGAATAGAGAACATATATAGGGTATTTAGTGGAAAAAACTAGGAATGGTCAGACGCGCGGGAAACTAAGTAGAATTTAAAAGCAGAATTGGTACGTTCCAAAATGCGCGATACAAATTACAATGTCGTGGTACGATCTAGTCCGGACACAAATAAATCTTCCAAGGATACAGGCAACGATTTTGGTAACGCTCCAATTTCAAGCGGCGAGTCTCGAAAACCGACACGGTCGGACAAGCTTCTCTGCTCATTGTTTCGCCGAAATGAAGCTCGCTCTTTCAAGCCGGCCGCGCGTGAACAGCCGATGCAACTGATCGTTGTTTTATTTATAGAACGCTCAGTGCGAAAAACAGGCCTCAGCAACCGCAAGTTTCGGTTTTATTCGGTCCTTATGGAAGATTTGTTATAGTTTTAAAAAGATATATTACGTTAGAAAATAATACTTCCGGTTTCAATGTTTCAAATCTCCGAACTTTTGTAATTTTTTTACCCATGAGTTTTTAATTTTTAAATTTCGAAGCGCTGAGTGGTTAAACTTTCAAATTTTGAAGCTTTGAACTTTCAAACTTTGAAATTCGGAAGCTTCAAATTTTTAAGCTTCTAAATTTGGAAACTTTGTACTTTTTCCGGATTTTCAAATCTAGAAGCTTTGAATTTTCAATTTACTAGATTTTAAAGTTTTGAATCCGCAAATTTTTAAATTACAGGGCTTTAAATTTTTACACTTTCACATTTGGAAGCGATAAATTTTCAAATTTGAGATCTTCCAGTTTCCAAATCTTTTAACTTCAATGCTTTGACACCTCGACATTCCAACATTTATATTTAAAAATTTTAAATGCCTTAGTTCCTAATTATAAACCTTAAGCACCAAATCCCCATATTCCTATCTACGAATTTCCTAAATACTCTTTGTAACTCGAAACCTGAAAAGCCAAAACTGACATTAAACACAAAACGAAGCCAAGGAAGGGCGCGTAGCCCGATAGTTAGGGTACCGTTCCCACGTGACATCACGCCGCTCCACGAAACCGGAATTGCACGATGTTGATAAACCTTCCGATTTTGCAGTGGGGTACGACCTGGGTGGCGTGTCCACGTGTAGCAAGAGGGACCCGGAGCACGGGAAGAGGCCGACAGGTGGCAAGGAACCGCACTGCCTATACCCGGGTGACCTCTATCCATTCACAAGGAAACCGCTGTTCGTGGTCGTCGATTCGGACAACAGCTTCGTGTTCCAACAGATACCTCGTTATTTCGGACAGCCGTTGATGGTGCTGATGTCTCCCCAAGACACGCCGTCAACGTTACGCGACGTTCGACACGGTGGAAGCCTGTTCACTCTGTTTCTCCACGCCCCCCTAGCCGCGTTTTGCCTTATATGCAACATCGGCAGCCTGGCCGTGCACCACTGGGAGCGGTGCCAGCGTTACATCGAGCGATTCCTCATCGAGGCTTGTCAGCTCGTCACGCGCTCCAGATGCGGTAAGGATCCAGGACGTTGTTTTTGTCGCCTGACACGGCCTGCAAGAGCTCTGCTCTGGCTTCTTTCTCTGTCTATCTATCTCTGTCCCTCTTTCTCTTCTAATTGGATGGGGAACGGGGAATGGGGCATATCGGTGAAACTTTCTTGGCTCTGGTCTGGCTGCGTTCGATCCGTGGACTGGGTGATGAGAATATTGCTTTTAGAGATTTATTAGATGGATCTTAGAATATTTAAACGATTGTAAAGATTGTATAATAGATTTATGTCTTTTGGAATGACGATAATGGAAATGAATTTGATACAGTATTTCACTCTTTGGTTTTTTGTAGAGGATTTTGTGATACAGGTTTGAAGATTGTGAAGTCTGTCTAATAGGACATTTTGTAATTAAGAGACGTGGAATAGTGCGAAGGTAAATTAGATGTTATATTATTTACGTGCCAATGAATTTATTTTGGTATCATCTATCTTTTTTTTTCCTCCAAAGGGGCAAGGATCGATCTTCGTTGAAAGGAGTGTGGGCTCACAAAGAGGAAAGAAATCCACCGACGTAAATTTCTTTAATTATTAAAATCATCAATTAGCAAACGATATGCAATCATACATCAGATCTTTCCCAAATGCAAATCATTTGCAAAAATTACCATAGTGTTTCTCCTTATATCAATGCATATCCAAGAAGTATGTTACAGTTCATAAGTATCGGCCCATTTATAGGAAACTTCTTTCTTGAGAATAACGTTTAAGCTCATTTTAAAAAGTAAATACAACGTGTGTCTGTTAGGAATTATAAAAAGAAAAACTCTTTTATGCGGATATTCAGACATTCAATTGCACGATTCTGGGATAAGCGCCCTGCTATTTCTCATAATCTCTTTATCTTTTACCAGATATCGTTGACCTACGTGGCGTGGGTGCCAAATGACATAAAATTGGCGTGACAGCGGAACGCGTTATCCTCCACAAGCAACGCCATCTTCTCTCAACATTGTTTCGCTCGTCAAACGACTATAAAGCATCCAGCAATATAATTTAAGTGGCTATAATAATCGACAAGCTTCCAGATTTGAACAGTTGAAAATTCAAAGCACCACGTTCGAAAATGATGAAGTTTAGAGTTTAAAATGTTGAGAACTCAAATATCAATCTATTCGATAGAAGTTTATATTTAAAAAACGCTACAAACTTCTCGATCAATCCGATGGTTATTCCTTAATAACGATTATAATCGGCTTTGCTAATGAGGAGTGCATTAGAAGAATTCTCGATCCCAGTCTTCGAAATCGTCTCGGTTCGTTCACCGGCAGCCAGAACGCGCCGAAAGGGATTTACGATTGCGTTCGAACGATAAACAGAGCTGGCCTAGATCCAGGTCGTGTTTATCGCTGAACCGGCAATCTTTCCTCCTAGACGCGTGATCTAGGGTCGGCTACAAAGGGGCTCTCCATTGTTCCTCTCGCGACAGCGATATGTCGTGTGCGAGTTTTGAACGTACGAGTGGCTTCCTTTGTCGCAGGCTCTCCTCTCTCTCTATCTCTATCTATCTATCTATCTATCTATCTATTTATCTATCTCTCGCTCACTCACTCACTCACTCTCATTCTCTTTATAATAATCGCGTCGTTAAGTAAAGCTTTGTGCGGATACGTTTAGTTCACTTTACCCTTAGAAAGTTTCACCGAAATCGATCGGGACAGCCAGCTGGCTGTCTAGCTTGACAATAATTCGTTCGAAAGTTCGAACAACAACTACAACAACAACAACAACAGGTTCTCTAGTAGCAGGCAACAACAGCAGCAACAGTAATATGCAAATTTGTCGGCCATATCTTTGGATCTGGAACCGTCGTCGAATTTTTGTTTAGAGGAAGATCGTGGACGTCAGCAGAGGCGATTTCCAGTATAGTATGACGAATTAAGAATCAATTTTAGAACTTCAAGAACCAAGTTAACGTAACGTTTCATTTCCAATTGTTTTAATATCAGTTCGCATCAGCGATTTCTGTTTTCCAACGTTGTGACTATGAAAGGGAATTCGGTATATTTTTCCTTATTTCTTTCAGCCAGATTCTATCGTTTTATGAAATTCTATAATTTTAAAGAAACGTACGTATCTGTGGTGTTGGTCCTCAATCGATTTCCAAGTGTAGTCCAACCGAGCGATCATGACAATGCTACTGCACGTAAATCATAAAAGTGGATGGATTTTCCCACTACTTTCTCTTTTATGTCATATGCTTCAAATTTTCAAACCACAGCGTAAAAGAAGAAAGATATGGTTTTCGTAGGAGAATGTTCTCTATCTGTATATGCCAATTGTCATAATTTAATTGTCTTCCTATTCTCGTTAATTACATCCTATTACATATGGGAACGAATAGCGAAATAAATGGCTGTACTGACGGTATAATGAATGACGGTAATGTAACTGCGCTGACGAAACAGTCGCAGATGCAATTGACTGCTTATGAAGAAAATTTTCTCAAGATTTTCCACTGCTTACTCTTCATTTCTCTTTTTAGCATCACGACCACCCGATTGGACTATACAGTTCCGAGTCTTACGAACAGAGTAAACTATCCTTGTCATGCATATTTTCGTCAGTTTAACCAGAGACAGCGATAAGGTGTAAAATAACCCATCTAACAATTAATCTAATTTTCTAATTTAATTTCATTTCAACGCGACTATTATTACTATCTACTGTTACTCTTGTACTTTTTATTTACTTTTATTTACTTTTTACTATTTTTAATTTCATTCATCTGATTATTACTTTATTCTATTTCAGATTAAACCGGAAAAATTTTAGAGATACAATCTCTCCTCTTATAAACAAACGAAATTCTAGCACAATGAAGCTGTTTGTAATGCCAATGCTATTGATATACATATAATTTTATATGATAGTAGACAGGAATTATTTACTAGATGTTTAATATCAAAGATATAAGTGATTTTTACTTCCTATAATACAAATTCCATATTTCATGTTACAAATGC